CTGAGGATCCGACCCATTCTCAAAAGTCTGTAATGATTCTATGTCTGTGTCATAATTCCTAGATTAAAAGATACATTTCTTTCCAATTCTACTCATATTTGGTTTAGAACCACAGACAAAGCACTGTCTCGTTTATGGTTCATGGTAGTCATATCTGTACCAGCTAAACATGCCTGTAAAGCTGTATGCATGTAGGTATGTATGTATTATGTTCTGTATGGCAATGCTTTTGAAATCATTAACAGAGCTCTCAACAAATATCAATGAGAAAACAAAACTCTCCAAATCTGGTTTTAGAAGTAATTGGCTGCACATATGTACTGTTTACTTGTCTATTATAAATTATTACCAATAATTGTAAGTGAGAAACTGTTACAAAATATAGCCCTGAGCAAGAATTGACACTGTTTGAGAAGACAAGACTGCTTTACAAATGCAGATCATATGTTTTGTCCTTAATATATAGGAAAAAATGGGTCAGAGACGAAAACCGCAATAAAACAATGATAACCATACTGCATCCCAACTTAAAAAGAATATCTCAGTATTTTAGCAAAATCATTTGTAAGGGATCTTATTGAATTTATTTAAAATCACTGACAATATTTTAAGTTTGTATTTTAGACATTTGGCTTTTTAACTTTCTAATTATTTGGAAACAACTTCATTTGGGCCTTTGGTTCATGTGCTGGTTTATCTTTTGTTTTGTACTCTGATAGTTGTTCTTCATTATGTTCTATTACACATTTAAAAACACTAACACTGAACTTTGAGCACTCAGAAATACAGAGCAATTCAGAGCCTGGGCACTCTTCACCTTTACCCTTGTGATTGATTTTGTTATGCATGTTTCCTCCTCCTTGTTAGAGGGCAGATGCTCTATGCTATAACCTTCCATGAAAACAGGATGGTCGAGTGTCCTCAGTTATCGCAAATTATTTCTTCTAGCAATTTTATGGTACTTTGCAGAACAGAAACCAAAAGACAGGGAGAGTTTGTAGTTTCCTTTGCAGCTGATGCACTTTCAGAGTGCTGTATGCAAGGACTGCTGCTGCTTGATCTCTCCAACCTGAATGATGAAGTGGTGTAACTTTTACCTGTGGCGGTTACTTTTTAATGTTCTCCAATTCTTTTTAGTGCCTAGTCTGGATACCTTAGTGAATTTCTTAAAAAAATAGAAAACTTGCTTTGGGAAACTGGTTAATATTAAACATTTTTTTTTTAAGCTAAATAACAGTTTAAATACTTGATGTTGTTAAGTATGTCATACAAAAACTTTGAATAACAATGACTTAGTTATTTCAGGTTTTTTTAAAGGCAGTTAAAATTGGTAGATATTTCATCTGTGTAGCTTGTGAAAGGATAGGAGGTTCAAAGTCTCGATAAATTGAACTTTAAATTGTTTGCACTTCTTAATGGCAACTGATTACCTTAATTAATAGAGGACATAATGTTTTGTTATAACTTGGGTTCTTAGACTGTTGCAATTATTTATCTTTTGTCTTCATATTTTCATATTGAAGGGAGTAAACACAAAAAGAAAAGGGCCCAATCCTTTTGCATAGCCAAAGAGGTGGAGGGTTTGGGGGGAGAAAGAGAGACGTTACCCCACTGTTGTACTTGGCCACATTGCCAGTCAAATAAGGGTATTTCTCAAATATTTTTTGGGTAGTTTTAGCTAGGCATGTAATCTTTTTCTGAACAGTACCTTGCTTCGGACTACCCTCTCCTTTCTCCCAGTAGTAGGTGCAGCCCACTGTGAATGAGGTGGTTCCTCAGGGACCTGTAAACACATTTTAGGGTTCCCGTTGTACACATACGTAATGATCACATTGTGTAAACCGTAGTTCAAAACAAAGAAATATTGTGCACAATACTGCCTTCTAAAAACCTTAACAAAAGTCACAACTTCCCAAAGCTGCAGAAAAATGTGCATTGTGTCTAGTTTTGTTTTATCTGACCAAAATACATCTGACATTAAAGTTGTTTTGGGGTTTTGCTACCTTCCTGTCTTCCTGTGTTCATTATTCTGTACCCGTGTGCTGTGTTGTAGGATACAGTGTAGTGTACAAGAGCAAACATCAATGGCCAAAAGCTGCAAGCAGGTTGCAGCTGGAAATCCCAGCCTTTCCATGTTTGCACCTGAGCTCTTGGGGATGCAACACTTGAGACAAGGTGCAGAAGGAGTTCTCAGTTATGTGGAGCTGCATCTTTTCCTTAACCTCTTCTGCGAGGCTAACAACGTATTTTAGTCCTTGTGCCTATTTTATCCACGAGGGTTAGAATTACATCTGACTCTGGTGCAATTGCTCAGGGTGGAAAAAAGCTCCTTGTCCATTACTGCCATTCTTGAATATTCCTTCAGAGAAAAGCTGATGTCAAAGATGGATTCTCGGCTTTGCATATTTTGCTCATCTCTCTTCTTTTCTAACTCATCCATCACTGGTGAAACTTTAAAGAGTACGTGAAGGTGCATTTACATCAATACATGTGTAAGAACTTTGTGTATGTGTTAGTAGTGAATGGAATATTGATACAGAAAAGGTAATCCATAATATCACTCATCAATGCAAGTTTC